GTAGAAGCATCAGAAGATTAGATTCCATTGATGTAGAACATGTGTAGAAGCATCACAAGATTAGCTTCTATTGATATCTACTTTGTGTGCCACAGAGGTTTTGATGATGAATGAGGGCAGTGCTTGCAAGAAATCTGGAAGGAAGGGGTATTAATCTGCATCCAGGGACAAATTTGTCAGAGGTATCTTATTTACTTGCCTTTGCTTTTTTACTTCCCTGCAATATCTAAGTTTGCAACTTTACTTATCTTTTGTTTATTTATTTACACAAACTTATACCAGACATAATATGTATGAATTCAGTTGATTAAAACAGAGCGTGGTATTAAAGTTGTTATTGATCACAAGAGTTGGTGGCAGATGCAGTGCCCTTTGCCACTGGTAATTACCATCCCCTTTTCATGTTCCAAAGCAATTCTCCTTTCTTTTTACTTGTTCATGTCATTCAGTTCATCCATTTAAGATTATTTTATTATGCTGTTGCATTTGATAGTGATGTCTGAAAAGCACTGCATTTTAGTATACTTGATGTTTGGCATGTCCATGTTATAAATGTTTCACCTTATTTACAGGCAGGATTCCAAATACAAAGTGGTTGAATTTGGGAGCTGGGGGGATTGAACTTGATCAAACAGGAGCTATTAAGGTTACTGACTGTTTATTTGTTTCTTATTGTTGAACTTTCTGTTAATTTCTTTTAAGAAATGGGTGGACATTCACTCACTTTATTGTCCATAAATGATGCTGTTTAGAAGTTTTGATTTCGTTGATTAAATCTCACAAACAGAATGAGTTCTGATATTCTTCTTTGTTCCCTTCAAAATGTTCATAAGTAGTTTGATTGTTTCTGGATAGAGGCATGGAAATCTAATATGATTGTCTCTTATTCTTTTAAAATGAAATTGTTGCTATAAAACAACTTTAGGCTCAAATTTTTTGCAGGCCTTTGTCTTTTTATTAGTGATGGTTTTTACCTTTGGTTTTATGATGGTTGATTCTGATGGCATGATCAAGTTAAAATTGCAATCTTTATGACAAGTTTTTATACAACGTAGAAGATGAGCGCATGACTGAGATTCCCTTTATTTTGCAGGTGGATGACTACTCACGCACCAACATACCCAGCATATGGGCAGTTACGAATGGAATGAATCTTGCACCTGTAGCATTAATGGAGGGAACCTGCTTTGCAGTATGTATTCTGTCTGGAGCTCTTTTATTTCTCTGTATTAAATGTTATATAGTTATTAATTTTTGATGCATTTAACAATCTTAAATGCATTGCCTGTAGAAAACTGTTTTTGGTGGACAACCCAGCAAACCAGACTGTGGCAATAAACCCTGTTCTGGTTTTAGGTAATGTTTGTATCCTTCGGAGCATGCCCCTCTGATTAATGAAGATTTCCCAAAACCGTAGCAAGGTATATATTTCTCGGTTCCAATGATCACAAGAAGTCCAAGTTATTCATTGTTCCTTATACTTTGTGGTAGCAATCTTTATCATGAGATTCTAAGGGCTATCATTACATGATACCCCTCTGATTTAAAATGAAGTTCTTCAACTGTAATGAACGGTTGCCTCACCTGATTTAGGCAACTGTCGTTTGGGTTCCCTATGTTGAAAGTAGATATCTAGCCGTAGGTTTCTTCTTCTTTTTTTTTTTTTTTCTTTTTCTTAGAATGCAACTATCAGTTTAGAGAGTTGTCTTTTCCACTTTCATAAGCATCAGATGACTGATTTGTCGTTTTGCAGCATACCACCACTTTCCACTGTTGGGCTTAGTGAAGAACAAGCAAAAGAGCAGGCAAATAGTGATATTCTGGTCTTTGCATCATCCGTCAATCCAATGAAGAACACAGTAACTGGGTCTGTATTGGTGATTTGAGATTTTATTTTTCCGACGTTGTGTTTGGATGTTGAAATGTGAAAACAAAAGAAAAGAAATAAATTACTAGAAATGACTAATTTTTCTCTCTTGTTTGAATTTCCCAGTAAGATTTTGTCTACATAAGAATATATTAACGAAGATATTAAAAGAATGGGTTTTGTTTTAATTTTGGACTCCAAACCAATAGTAAGCACAACATTTTACTCTAACCAAATGTTCCATTAGTTTTTTGTTTTACTTTAGATTTCCAAAACCCAAGCACAGTCTAGATAAATTTAAAATATCATGAATGAGTTCTAGTGTTGTTAATTGGGAAAATCACATATCAAGTGATTGAGGGAAAACCTATGGACTTTTAAATAAATAAATAATATAAACCTCTCATGTTAATTGGTTTTAAGATTGGATAATCTTATTCAAGTTTAAACTAGAGAATGGCATATATAAAAAGGGATATGGGTAATTCTGCACTAAATGTGTTATCAATAGATTATATTCATTATTTCTTAAGATCAGCGGATGTCTGACTCGTATATTTGATTTTGTTTTCCTAGAATTTAATTGTGCCTCTCATGTTTCTCTCCAAACGGCGAGAAAAGACTATAATGAAGCTAGTTGTTGATGCTGAGATGGATAAAGTTCTTGGGGCACCCATGTGTGGGCCAGATGCATCTGAGATTATGCAGGTACTTACCGTATATGCTGGTTCATGCAGATCTTTTTCTTTTTATGTGAGTTCCAGCTTGTCCATGGCCAGATAATCGTGTGCAAATAAACCAGTAGAAATTAAGTGCTAGTCATTGAAGCCCTTTCTACTTTTCTCTTGATCCAATTATTTAGACTTTCCTAGCTAGATGATTGATTGTGTCACTCTGCTTGCTCAATATAGGATACAAATACGGCTGTGTTATGCTGTTGTATGGTTGTGACTTATCTTCCGCCTTGGTTATCAAACCTGCAAACAGTGAAGGCTTGTGTTTGCGTTGCCAAATTTCCATATCAACTTTCAGTGTAGTGCTGTTTGTTTCAATTTTCGTTTGTATGTGTATGCATGCTTGTGTTTTCGAATCCTGGTAGTTATTTATATATATATATGTTATTTTTGTTGGGAATTGCCATTGCACGTAAATGTAGAGTGACGAAGCCCCAATTTGAGAGCACGGTAAGCTGAATATTTCTTTGGAGATTGGTGACACATTTGATGTGAATTCTATATATACCATTCAAGAATATAATCCAATATTATGGTCTGTTGCAACCTGTGTCTCTGAGCTTCTCCTTTCACCAATCTTCCCCAGGTTGTTATTCATCCTTCAGCAGCAGAGAAGTTCGTGAGCATGCGATCACAAGGCGTGTTTCCAAACCAAAGAGGAATCTGTTAAGTTATAAATTCATGAATTGTGGAAGAAAGTATAGATAAGTAAAAAATTGGTAGTGGCTATTTTTGGTTGCTATTCTCATTATAAATGGTTGGTTGTTCAATTACTGACTGTTTCTCTAGAATTGTTTTAGATATAACAATAACATGTAATCTGTTTAATTCTTCCTATCATCATACCATTTCGATTAGCTTGTCTTTCTAGTATCTGTAATGTATAATTATCTTAAACGGCCTCTCATTTTTTCATTTTCAAGACATTAATCATTTATATACTAGGAAGAAAGCAGGAAATCTGAAAATATAACCAAACATGTCTAATATTGTTTTTACATAGGGAAGATACATAGACCACGGTCTCATAATTAAAGCAAGAAATCTGATTATATATCCAACCAAATAAACAGGGAAATTAGGAGTTCCAACAAACATAACCAAAGAACAAGCTAAAGAATTTCAACTTGGAGGGGAAACTGCTCACTTACGTTCCAAAAACATCAATTAACTTGCTCTCCTCTATAGCCAAGGCTTCATTTTTCTGTTAAAAATTTGTGGAGCATATGTCGAAACAAAAATTTCAACGAGGAGGGGAAACTGCAAGCATACAAAAAGTGCAACTGGAATGCTAGCCATCATAATTATGGGAATGATTGCCCACCATCGATCTTGAAGTATAATCGAAAGAGCAGCAGAAAAGCTAACCGTCATTGCTGCAATAGAAATAAAAAGAGTGGAGAGGCCGATGATCAACTTCCTGGGTAAGGACTTAAGAAAATCCTCTTCAGCGAAGCGCGATGTTAGGATTCCCAGAAACATTAAGACTGAAGCTGATGCAGCGAAGAAGGAAACTGCATCAGACATTATAAATATCATAAATGCTCTTCTCGGTAAAAAAATGGGAAATCCGGTTCTGTCATCGTTGCCGCCTGGAAGAGTGAAAGCTGCAGCAAACAAGATCGTCACAATGAGAGTACCGACAATAATAAAAGAACTTGCTGTGTCCTTCATCCATTTTTCTCCCTCTTTCACTAATCCCTTGTGGCTCTTTGAAAATATTTCATAAGGGGTTTCACCATAGATATTTTTAAATTCTTTGCACCATTCTGGAACAGTTCTTTCCACCTCCTGCGTTCGGTTAACAAGAGTACACATTAATGTTTAAACAAGAAATTGGGTTTCATTTTTTAAACAAATAAGTTACCCTTACTATATATAAACTTTTGAGAGAATCAAATCAAACTTTATGTATAAAAGAAAATTAAAATAATTAATTAATAATAATAATAATTTTAAAATGTTACAGTTGCATGAGCTAGTGAGATGATAACCTTGAACCATTGTAATTCACGTTGCATCTGTAATGCTGAACTAGAGATTCGAGCCAGTCGAAAATCAGGAGCTATCTCTCCTGCCACATGTAACATACTGTTTCCATAGTTATCTACCCGATTAAGAATTCGGGCTTTCCAGGCCTCATGAATCCCAGGTAGGAGGTTGAAAATGTTTGCTCGACGGTATTGGATTGCAACCATGAAAACGTTTCTTCCAACTCTATCATGGTAAATGAATGGGTGAGTGACTTTCAATAGCTCAATGACGAATTGAACCATGCCCTGCTGGGTAGCTTCAAACATTGCCTTAACCACTCCACAATCCAAAAGATGTTGGTCTTTGAATGTTGAAACATGGTTACACATACAGCGAAGAATCTCAAGGGCGTAAAGATTCGTCAACTTCAAATTATAAATTTGTTTGACTCCTAAGTAAATCAAGAATCAATTAATATATACTAAAAAAGCATAAGAATAGAATAATAGAAGTAGATATGCTAAAATACGTAAAAAATAAGTTTCATGGTTGAGGGTGAATTACCAAAGAAATCTGGGAGCATTAAGCCCAATCTACCAAGTCGGTTAAATACTGCAAGAATAAACCCCAGTTATTTATTATACTTGCTGACTTAAGACAATAATTACAAGTCCATTACCATGCATGTATGTTAATTACCATGCATGTATGTTAATTACATGAATTTAAAATTAAGTACAAATAACTTAATCCGAAATGCGCATGTATATCCTAGCTAAGTTCAATATTCTTGTATTCTCAAACAAGGAAATGGCATTTGAGAATGAAATTATATTTTGAAACGATTTTTTTTTTTTTTTTTGGTTTTAATTAGATGGGTAAGGTGCCTCT